CAAGTGACTTCAGTCCTCCCTTCAAGGAACTTCTACTTTCTATAATCTATAGCAAGAAAAGTAGGCTAAAATGAACAAGTCCCCCTTTCCAAAGATTGTTTCTTATGTGTTTGATCAGGAAGAACTAAAGGAGTACTATGTATTTAAACCCAAAAGATCCTGACGTGGAGAAAGATTGCCCAACTATCATCCACTTTGTTCTGGTCAACATCAGCTTCAGAAAGTACAAGATTGCAGGTGTTCCAAGAGAAATTAAGAAAGAGAAAGAAATAGCTGACTTTGACAGTTTTGATGACCCAGAATCACCATTCTCAACCTTTACCTTTCAATATTCAAATAAAATATTCAAAAGGTTGCATGATGTAATGCACTTCACTGCCCTAAACAACAATGCTGTGGTAAAGAATGCCAGAATTGAATGTATTGAATATAAAAGACAGAATCCATCTTATTGCTCTGTTTTGTTCAGTAATGTTGAGGCAAGACGATTCTTTAATAAGGAGTTTCTAAACAAACCCACAGCATCATTTGTATTCTGGGGAAACAGCAATTTATGATGTGGAGACAATTTGAAATTCCTTGACAGCTGGATTTTTGAAGCACAATATAGACATTAGTTATTGTTAAGTGTCATTGAGTCAATTCCCACCCATAGCGACCCAGTATAGGGTTTCTGAGGAGCAGTTGGTGAACTTGAACTGCCTACCTTGCAGTTCAAACGGCTTTGCAGTCTGGCGCGTTAACCCATAGTGTCACACCAGGACTCCGTACTGACCATGAAATGGACTGATACTCCAAGTTGCAATTATTTCACTGCATAAAAACAACACTGTTATGTTTGTTAGGTTGAGAGGTGATGCTGATTATATAAAAATATCCTTAACTGCATTTTCCATCAGTATAAATTTCCTGATGTAGGAACATATACTGTATTTTCAAACAATACTGTATTTTTAAACATTTCTCACCAACTATTTTATGTGTGCTTTTTTTAAAAAAATGTGTTTTCTTATAGAATATTTAACAGTTCAATCTCAATAAGACTTTGCATTGAATGTGAATGCTATTCACTGACTAGATTTATTCATGCCATTTGACAACATCATTTCTTATTTATATATATACATAAGGAGCTCTGGTAGCATAGTGGTTACGAGTGTGGCTGCCAACCTCAAGATCAGCAGTTCAAAACTACCAGCCATTCCACAGAGAAAGAGGAGACTTTCTGCTCTCGTAAACAGAGTACCGGTATGGTGCTGTGGGCTAATGCGCTGGACTGCAAAGTGGATTTGAACCGCAAAGTTGGTTTGAACCCCAAGGTCGGTGGTTCAAACTCACCAGCTGCTCCTTGGAAACCCTATACAGGGTCACTATGGGTTGGAATAGACTCTCCAGCACTTAATAACAACAACAACAACAATACCCTATATATGACCCATAGCGACCCTGTACAGGGTTTCGGAGGGTGTAAATCTCTACAGGAGTAGAAAGCCTCATCTTTCTCCGGCGGAGCAGCTGGTAGTTTTGAACCGCTGACCTTAAGGTTCGCAGCCCATACATACACATATATACATACTTGAAATAAAACATTTACAAACAAATTTAAACAAACAAAAATTCCCTTGGGTGCAACTTTCCTGGCCTTTTTCTCATCAATGTAATTTCCAATTTTCTGAAAACTTCTTCCTTATAAACACCTGAAATCATCCTGTGCCCAATGAGAAAAATCTATCAAGATTATTCCTTTGGAGTCTCAAAATCAGTTGTCATAACCTTCTGAACTGGCTTCTCTGCTTTGAATTTAACTGGTCTGCAGATCATATTGGAAGTCACTGTTTGGTTGGCCCCCCTTTTTTGAAGGCATCCTAGTTAAGACTAAGAAGACATATATAGCACTGAGAGAACTTGTCTGCAGTTATCCATGAATCACAGAGACATGCTGAAAACATTTTGTTTGGAATAAACCTATGCTTGTAGTATCTAGAACCAGTAGCAATACTTCTTCACTTCCCCTTGTCTCTATATAAATATCTAGAGATTTCCTTAAAAGAAATAACTCACACAATTGTGGAGACTTGCAAGGCTCAAATCCATGTCAGGTGGCAGGCTGGAGACCTCTGCAGGTTTATATCATAATATCTGGAGGTAGTCACAAGAATAGTGCAAGGTCAAGAGAAAGAATCAGAATGCTTTGCCAAAACATCCACTTATACTGAAACCTTTAAGACCGTGAATTCAGCAGGATTGCCTTGTTTTTTTCTGGTTCTCGCCAATTTTCTGCCATTGACAGGGTGCAGTCTTAACCACAATCGTTGCTCATTTTAGTGGAAAATATTTGCATCTTCCTTCTCTGACAGGTTTCTGACTTACACAAATCAGGCTTTAACAGGTTTTTCTGTATATTCGGATGCAGACCACACCACAATAACCCCCCTTTTCAAATGATTGGTTTCTCATATCATGATGGTGATTACATTACATCTCATTACAGTACAGAACAACAACCAATTCAGTATCTGGCCAAACCACTGAGAAACATAGCTTAGCCAAGTTGACACATAAAACTAACTGCCTCAGATAATAAAACCTGATTCTAGTTCTCACATGCCTCAGGAGCCCCCTCCTCTTTGTGGGTGTTGAACTCCAGCATTTCTTCATGCTTGGAAAAGTTGATGGGACCATTGTAGGGTGGTAAAAGATTGGATATATGGATTTTTTTCTTATCAACCCAGTTTCTCTTCATTCACCTTCAGCCCTTGACCCTTACACTCTGCTAGACTGTGCCTAAATCATCTGGGGTCTCATAATGTTCAAATACAATTTGCAATTTTCAGACTGTACCTGCCCTCATTTCTCTGAAGTATTTGGCACCAATAGCTACTCCCTTTGGTGGTAGTTGTGTGCTAAGAGTTTAGATGATCATACCTTTCTGATTTATATGTTGACTATTTAGCCTCCTCTTGGCTATTGAATATTTGTATTGTCTAATGTACTATTTGGACTCCATCCGACTCATAGTGACCCTAAACAGGGTTTTGAGGCTGCTATGGAATCCTGGTGTGGCACTGTGGGCTAATGCATCAGACTGCAAAGCCGTTTGAACTGCAAGGTTGGCGGTTCAAGCTCACCAGTGGCTCTTCGTAAACCCTATACTGGGTCATTATGGGTCGGAACCAACTTGACAGCACTTCACAACAACAAATGTACTATTTTGCTTTTTCACATTAAAAAAATCTACAATGCATTTTGTTTCTTATTAAAATCTTCACACACAAATATGGAATCAATATTGATGGACTGATCCTAATTCATAGAATTGTTAAAATTGATTTTTAGGTTCCATCAAGTTGGTTCCAACTCATAGTAACCCTTTGTACAAAAGAAGAAACACTACCCAGTTCTGTACAATCCTCATAATCTTTGCTATATGGTGATGGTGGTTATGTGCCGTGGAGTCAGTTCCAACTCATAGTAAACCTGTACAGGGTTTCCTGAGGCTGAAAATCTTTATGGGAGCAGAAAACCTCATCTTTCTCCCTCAGAACAGCTGGCAGTTTCAAACTGCTGACCCTGAGGTTAGCAGCCCAATTCGTAACCACTAGGTTACCAGAGCTCTTTTTGTTATATGGGAGCCCATTGTTGTGGTCACTGTGTTGCAGCCATTTTGTTGAGGCTCTTCCTCATTTTGCTGACCCTCTACCAAGCATGATGTCCTTGCCCAGAGATTGTTCCTCCCAATAACATGTTCAAAGTCCCCGAGATCTCACCATCATTGCTTCTAAGGAGTTTTCTAACTGTACTTCTCCTGAGACAGATTTGTTCATTCTTTCAGCACCCATTTAATATTCTTCAACCAACACCCTAATTGAAATGCATTAATTCTTCTCCAGTCTTCCTTCTGCACTGTTCAGCTTTCGCATGCATATGTGGCAATGGAAAATGGTGTAGTTCATCTTTGCTGTTTAACACTTTAAAGAGGTCTTTTGCAGCAGATTTGCCTAATACAGTATGTTATTTGCTTTCTTGACAGCTGCTTCCATGGGTATTGATTGTGGATCCAAGTAAAATAAAACTTGACAACTTCAATTTTTTCTCCATTTATCATGATTTTTACTGGTCTAATTGTAAGGATTTTTTTCTTTTTCTTTATAATATGTTTTGTTATTGTTAAGTGCTATCGAGTTGGTACCGACTCATAGTGACCCTGTATAGGGTTTCCAAGGAGTGGCTGGCTGGTGAGCTTGAACAGCCGACCTTGAGTCCAGTGCATTAATTAACCACACAGCGCCACAGTTAGATTTAATTTTTTAATCTTATGATTTAATTAACAGTAGCCAAAGAACAAGGAGCTCTGGTAGCATAGTGGTTAACGAATCGGTCTGCTAACCTCTGGGTCAGTAGTTCGAAAATACCAGCTGTTCTGAGGGAGAAAGATGAGGCTTTCTGCTCCCGTAAAGATATACAGCCTCGGAAACCCTGTACAGGGTCGCTGTGAGTCGGAACCGACTCCACAGCACATAGCAAGTCAAAGAACACATGAAGTTCTTATGCAAAAAAAAAAAAAAAAACGCTTCTAAATTAAATGAAAAGTTTGGCATGTTGATTAAGCTTAAAAGAAAAGTTTTAAAAATGCATAATATTTAATATTTGGATAGTGACTATTCAATCCAGAAACTGTTAAAAATATACTTTCCCAATCAGCACCACCCCCTCGGGATTTAGAAAGCTGGGAGACATCTAGGTATCCGAGTGATTCACAAGCAGGTACCCTGGGGAGCAAGACGGATGGTATTTAAATTCAGAAGATCGGTTTCTTTTCACCCACGGGACCCGGAAAGGGATCCCATTGGCCAGGAAGTTTCATCTGCCGTTCCGAAGACTTGGCAATGTGTCCGCTGTGACTTCTTGGACCCTCGCGTTTCCCAGCCCAGAGTGAGTCGGGGCGCTACAGAACTACGCGGCGAACGATACGCGCAGGGATCCGTAATTCAAACCGGGAAATGGGCCTGCGAGCCCGGCCGACGCTTCTCTTTTTGATGTTCTTGCCGATCGTAGCCCCCAACGGGCGGCGTCTGCGTGAGTTCTGGGTCTGCGGGAGGACGGGGGTGCGGTGAAAGAGGAACAAATCCAACCCTACTCCACTCTGTAACGCCTAGGATTTTACTTGGGATCTGCATCCACTCCCTCCCCCGACCAACGCGCACCGATGCGCTTTAAATAAACCTTTACTTTCGCATTTAGGTGAAGCCGGGCCTGGGATATGGGTTTTCTTGTTGCTAATGTTGGCTAGGCCAGTTTTCGCTTGTCATCTCAAAACAGGAAGTTCTTCTTTCTTAGTGCAACCTTGGCCCGGGCGCCCCTTTGGTGTTTATACACCGGGGAGCTGCGAAGGGCTGGCTTTGGGCTGGGCTAACCCGCGGCGGAACCCCGCCACTTCAGGAGTATTAGCGTTGGGGCAATGGGGATGTGGGCGTGAGAGAGTGGGGATCCAAGTTCCATCCGGTCCCCACTCCCTTGTGGTGAGATTGGGTAGGACGAGTCTGAACGAGACCTGCCTGGCCTTTCCAGACCCCAGGCATTGGGGGAATTAAGTGTTGGCTGTAAATAAAGGTTCTCCACTAGCTGGGCTTTGTTGATGTGTAATGCTAATGCGTTGTATAATTAAGAATCGTTACTATAGGCTACCAAATTAATGATGGTTAACACTTAGTAATGAGTTGAAATTTTAAAGCCCGTTCATATATGTGATTTAATTCACACTCAATATACATTCGGAAGATGTTAGGTTGCATGGAGTCGGTTTTGATTTGTAGTGATCCTATGTACAACGGAGTGTGGCCCTTTGGGTTAATACGCTGGACTGCCCTGTCGGTTTGAACCACAAAGTCGGCGGTTCAAGCTCAGCAGCTGCTCCTCAGAAACCCTATGCAGGGTCTCTATGAGTCAGAATCGACTGGATGGCACTTAACAACAATAACATGTACAACGGAACTACACACTGCCAGCTTCTGCACTTACTCACCTGTATCATCTTCAACTATTGCTATATTTGAGCCTATTGGTGAGGCCACTGTGTCAATCCATCTCATTGAGGGTCTTCCTCTGTTTCGCTGACCCTTTACCTTACTAAGCATGATGTCCAGGGTCTGGTCCCTTCTGATAACACGTCCAAAGAATGTGAGACTAAGTCTAACCATCCTTGTTTCCAAACAGCTTCCTGGCTGTAATTTTTCCAAAACAGATTTGTTTGTTCTTATGGCAGTCCGTGGTACTTTCAATATTCTTCACTAACACCATAATTCAAATGCATTAATTCTTCATCTGTCTTCCTTATGCATATGAGGTCATTGAAAATACCACAGCTTGGGTCAGGTGCACCTTAGTCCTCAAAGTGGCATCTTTGCTTTTTGACAATTTAAAAAGGTCTTTTGTAGCAGATTTGCCTAATGCAATAGATCATGTCATTTCTTGACTGCTGCTTCTGTGGGTGTTGATTGTGGATCCTTGACAACTTCAATCTTTTTCTCCATGTATCGTGATGTTGCTTACTGGTCCAATTGTGAGGATTCTTATTTTCTTTATATTGAGTATAATCCATACTGAAGGCTGTAATCTTTGATGTTCGTTAGTAAATGTTTCAACTCCTCTTTAAGATGTTGTTGTGTACTGTGGCGTTTGTTCTGACTCACAGTGACCCTGCATAGGGTTTCCGAGGCTGTAAATCTTTATGGGAGCAGAAAGCCCTGTCTTTCTCCTGTGGAACCGCTGGTAGTTTCAAACTGGTTTAGCAACCCGATTGGTAACCACTATGCTATCAGAGCTCCTTCCTCTTTAAGATAGGAACTATTAATAGATTTGTTTTACTGTTTAAGACCATGCAATAGGACTGTTGAATGTAATTAACAATGCTAATTAAAAGAGGACTCAAAAACAAAGGCCTGGTGATTAAAAAAATAATAATAATAAGTCAGCCATTGAAAACCCTGTGGAGCCCAGGTCTACTCTGACACATGTGGAGTTGCCATGAGTCACAATGGATTGGACAGCAACTGTTCTGTGTATTTATTTTTACTAGTAGTTAACTGGCCCTCAGGTAAAACAACTTTCCCAAGTCAATGTTAAATAGTATACTACTACTCTTGGTGTTATACTGTAAGATAAGCACTGGACTATAAGATCAGTTTGCATAGCAAGGTCTGTGGTGCAAACCCACCAGCCACTCCTCAAAAACCCTATACATGGTCTCTATGAGTTGGAATCAACTCAGCGGCATTTAGCAACACCACCACCAGCACTCCTCCTAAGCGTATTGACAGAATCCTCCCCAAACCAAACCCACTGCCATCAAGTTGATTCTTGATAGTGACCCTGTAGAGAGTTTCTAAGTATAAATCTGTACGGAAGCAGATAGCTTCAACTTTCTCCGTGGAGCAGCTGGTGAGTTTGAACTCCTGACTTTGTGTTTAACAGTCCAGTGTTTTATCCTACAGTGCCACCAGTGCTCCGGCCCTTACTATTGCAGGACATTGAACTGGCTTTGCAGACATTATCATAAGAAAGTCTCTGACCATCTGTTGAGTTTAGATTTTAGAATGAACCCTGTAAGAGCCAGAACTTCATGGGACAGCCTTGTTTTTCCTGACTTCACAGGTTCTCTGTCTTACCACTGTTCTATTGCTCATTATGGTGGAAGATACTTGAGTTTTCCTTCTCTGACAGAATTATGACTTACATGTTGTTGTTGTTAAGGACCATGGAGTCAGTTCCGACTCATAGTGACCCTGCACAGGGTTTCCGAGACTGTAAATCTTTATGGGAGCATAACACCTCATCCATTTTTACTACATTTGTATTCATATATTACCAGCTGTCAATATGGACTCATAGGACAGTATAGAACTGTTCCCCAGGATTCTGGAGACTGTAACTCTCTATGGGAGCAGATAGCTTCATCTTTCTCCTGCAGAACAGCTGGTGGGTTTTAACCACTGACCACCTCAGTGCCTAACCCACTACACCCCTAACCTTTCTCAACATTACACAGGCTTTGTAATAGAACCCCTCTCTACCCCATAGCTGTGGTTCTGAAAACATCATGTTGCATTAGAAGTTGAATCAAAAAAATTGGATGTTGAACAGAAATATTCATTCACAAGTACAAAATTTATTGCACTGTTCTAGACCCAGAGTTGTTGTTGTTAAGTGCTATTGAGTTGGTTTTGACTCATAGCAACCTTGTATAGGGTATACGTGGAGCGGCTGGTGAGCTTGAACCACCGAACTTGCAGTTCAAACAGATTTTGCAGTCCAGCACATTAACCCACAACCCCACACCAGGACTCCAGATCCAGAGTTGTTGTTGTTGTTGTTGTTAGGTGCCATCGAGTCAGTACCAACTGAAGAATGTTGAGGACTGTGCCCCTCCTTGCTTGAACACTGTGAAGATGTGTAGGACATGCTCAGACCTCATAGCTGAGCAGTCACGTCCTAGGCAATGCCATTAAGAAAGACCTACCATACAAATTCCATCTTTAATTCCTTGGAAGATGTTTTACAGGCCAGACTGGTTTGCCCAATATCCTAGGCTTAACATTAAAGGGCTACCTTCTGTTGGAACAGAGAAGAACACCAGCCCTTGAGAGGGGTTTGAACCAGGATTCCAATGAATCGTACATGCTCAACATCACAGAGTAAGTTTTGTCTGCCCCTACCAGAGGCCTTTGCAATGGAATCAATCCATCATGAAGAAATGCAGCTCACATACCCAATTAGCACTGCCCCTCCTAAACAGGCCACTTTCCCCGAAGTCCCCACTTTCCCTTTCTCTACCCCAAACCTTTTAAACCTCAGCAAAGCCTTTGTTATAGAGTCCTGGTGTGGTACTGTTAGGTAAGCACTGGATTGCTAACCACAAGGTTGGTGGTTCAAAGCCACCAGCCACTCTTTAGAAACTCTATACAGGTCATTATGAGTCAGGACTGCCTACACGGCACTTACCAATAACCATATCAAAGTCTCTGTTCACGGAGACTCCTTCGGCCTCCTTCGGCCAGATCTTTTCCTCTCAATAAATCTTTAAATCTTTTGCTTTTGTGAAACTTTGTCTGTCTAACCTTATTGTTCTTGGTCAGCAAAGACGAGGACCATCTGTGGAAGGGTTGGGGCCCCCCTACATCCTGATAGCAGTACTTCCATAATGGTGATGTTCAAAAATGTCTCCAGACTTGACCAGATGTTCCCTGTGTTATAGAATCTTCCAGTTGAGAACCACTAGGTAGAGGAAGAGCAAGGAGGCTGGCACCACCAGAGTGTAGCAGTCAGTGGCATCAAAGGGGTCACAGGCAAGGCCATGTAGGACTTTTTAGACTGCAGTGTGGATTCTCAGGTTCTAGAAAGGCAAGGAGTGACATGATCTTTCTTATATATGTTTTAAGAAGATTGCTCTAGTTGTTGTGTGGAAGTTAGAATGAAAGGGTAACAGTAGAAGTACTGTTATGCCAGTCTAGGCAGGAGCTGATAGAGAAGCAGTGGTGAGAAATGGTTGTATTCTAGATATATGTTGAGGGAAGGTGCTAAAGAATCGGAGTTGGGAGAGAGAAAGAGAAGAGGCAAAGGGTAGGATCCTACAGGCAGTTGGAGTATGGGGTCCTGTAGGCAGTATGGAATTTGGTACAGAAATAAATATATAAGAACTACCATTCATTCATTCAGCAAATATTTTGTGCCTAATTGGTGGGAACCATTTCTGCTCAACTACCAACATACATAAGGAGCTCTGGTAGCGTAGTGGTTACGAATCGGGCTGCTAATCTCAGGGTCAGCAGTTCGAAACTACCAGCTATTCTGCGGGAGAAAGATGAGGCTTTCTGCTCCTGTAAAGATTTCAGCCTTGGAAACCCTGTACGGGGTTGCTATGAGTTGGAACCAACTCCACGGCACATAACAACAACAACAACCAACATGCATGCTTGTAGTTTGAACCCCCCAGCAGTACCATGGAAAAAAGCAGTACCTGGTGATCTGCTTCTATTCTGATTGTTGATATTGTTAATTGCTGTTGAGTTGACTCCAACTCACGGAAACTCCGTATATACAGAATAGAACTGCTCCAAGGGTTGTCAGGGCCAAGCCAACACTATGCAACAGTTCTAGTCTTTAAAACATGGAGTTAATGTAAGTTAGAATCAACTTCACAGCAATAGGTTAAGTTTGGTTTTTACTTTCCAGGCATTACTGGGAAACATCACTGAATTCTCTCATTCTATAGTTGAGGGAAGGTGTAGAGAAACTGTCATTTGCCCCTAGGTCTTGTTCTTTTCTGCTAACTTTTAACCAAAATCTAAACCCATTGCCATGAAGTCAAATTCTGGTTCATAGTGACCCCAATTGTTGTTAAGCGCTGTTGAGTTGGTTCCGACCCATAGCTACCCTGTGTAGGGTTTCCGAGGAGAAGCTGGTAAAACTGCCCCATAGGGTTTCCAAGGCTGTAATCTTTACAGAAGGGAGCTCTGGTAACGTAGTGGTTATGAATCGGGCTGCGAACCTCAGGGTCAGCAGTTCGAAACTACCAGCTGTTTGGCGGGAGAAAGATGAGGCATTCTGCTCCCGTAAAGATTTACAGCCTCAGAAACTCGTACAGGGTTGCTATATGAGTTGGGACTGACTCCACGGCACATAATAACAACAACAACAATCTTTACAGAAGAAGACTATCACATTTTCTCCCGTGGAATGCCTGCTGACCTTTCAGTTAGGATCCAAGCACTTAAACCAGGGTTCCTTTCTGCTTATGCAAGCCTTCTAAATGTGCCTAGGAGCTGTTGTGATGATGAACAGCTGCCCACAGCTAATAATCTGCATGTAGTCCAGCATTCAAAAACAAATATTTGCATATAAAAAAGGTTTACAGATGGAAAGAACAGCAACAACAACAACAAAAAAAACCCAACAACAAATTCAAAAGCAAGTTCTGATACCACCAGTCCACCTGTCAGTGTGTCATGTCAGTTTGTCTGACTGTGCTGACTTGTGTGTTGTTGTGATGCTGGGAGATATGCCACCCATAGTTTAATTACCAGCAAGATCACCCATGGCGGACAGGTTTTTCAGAGCTTCCAGACTAAGACAGACTAGGAAGGAGAGGCCGACCACTTCTGAAGGGTTAGCCACTGGAAACCTTATGAGTAACCGCAGACCATTGTTAAATGTAGTGCCAAAAGAAGAGTCCCTCCAGTTGGAAGACACTCAAAAAATGATTGCTAAAGACCTGCCTTTTGACAGGAATGGAGCAAAGCTTCCTGGACCTTCATTTACTAATGGGGGACAACTCAAAATGAGAAGAAACAACGGAAAACATCCATTAATAATCAGAACATGGAATGTATGAAGTATTGGTGTTGTTATAGGCCTTCGAATCGGTTCTGACTCCCAGTGACCTGATTAGGGTTTCCCAGGAGTGGCTGGTGAATTGACTTTTTGGATCAGTGCATTATCCTGCAACCCCACACTAAGACTCCGTATGAAATATGAATCCAGGAAAATTTGAAGTCAAAAATGAAATGGAATGCATGACAATCGATATCCTCGGCATTACTGAGCTGAAATGGACTGGCATTGGCCATTCTGAATCAGACAATCACATGGTTTACTATGCTGGGAACAACAAATTAAAGAGGAATAGAATCATAGTTATCATTATCAAAAAGAGCATTTCAAGATCTTTCTTGAAGTACACTGCTGTCTGTTATAGGATATCTACCGGAGTACAGTGGCTCCATATCTTAAGCACTGGACTGTGAACCACCAGGTGGGCAATTCGAGCCCACCAGCAGGAAAAAGACAAGGCTTTCTGCTCCCGCGAAAGATTTGAAAGTCTTGGAAACACTGTAACAGGGTCGCTGTGACTCGGAGCCGATTCCACAGCACTTAACAACAACGAACTTCTTCAATCTTAAGTTGATCAAACATGCAATCAAGATGCATTGATAATTACTGGTGATTGGAATGTGAACGTTGGAAACAAAGAAGAAGGATCCATACTTAGAAAATATGACTTTGGTGATAGAAATTATTCTGGAGATCTCATGATAGAATTTTGCAGGACCACCATTGCAACTGCCTTTTTTCCTGCACTATAAAATGCAGTCATAAAGGTGGACCTGACCAGATGGAATACGCTGGAATCAAATTAACTATATTTGTGAGAAGAGACATGGAGAAGCTCAATATCATCAGCCAAAATAAAGCTAGAGGCAACCTGTGGAACAGACCATCAATTGCTCACATGAAAGTTCAGGTTGAAGTTGAAGAAAATGAAAACAAATCCATGAGAGCCAAAATATGACCTTGTCTATATCCCATCTGAATTTAGAGACCATCTTCAGAACAGATTTGATGCATGAGACACTAGAGACTTAAGACCAGAATAGTTGTGGTATAATATCAAGAACAGCATATAGGAAGGAAGCAAAAGGTCATTAAAAGACAGAAAAGAAAGAAAAGACCTAAATGCATGTCAGAAAAGACTCTGAAACTTGTCCTTGAGCTTAGGGAAGCTAAAGCAACTGGAAGAAATGAGGAAGTGAAAATACTGAATAAGACATTTCAAAGGGCAGCTCCAGAAGACAGAGTCAAGTATTATAATGAAATGTGCCAAGACCAGGGGTTAGAAAACCAAAAAGGAATAGTTAGAAAATCAAAAGGGAAGAACACACTCAGCATTTCTCTAGCTGAAAGAACTGAAGGAAAAAAGTCAAGCTTCCAGTCGCAATATTGAAGGGTTTCTGCTCCCGGAAAGATTTACAACCTCGGAAACCCTGTACAGGATCGCTATGAGTCAGAACCAACTCCGCAGCACATAACCACCACCACCACCAAGGGCAAAATACTGAATGATGCAGAAGGCATCAAAATAAGATGGAAGGAATACACAGTATCATTGTACAAAAAAGAATTTGTTGATGTTCAAGCATTTCGATAGATACCATATGACCAAGAAGGAAGCAGTCCAAGCTGTACTGAAGGCACTGGCAAAAACAAGGCTGCAAGAATTGATGCCTACTAATTGAAATGTTTCAGTAAACTGATGCAGAGTTGGAAGCGCTCACTTGTCTATGCCAAGAAATGTTGAAGACATCTACCTGGCCAACTGATTGGAAGAAATCCATATTTGTGCACATTCCAAAGAGAGGTGACCCAACGGAAAAATCATTGAACAATTATCATTAATACTACTTGCAAGTAAAATTTTGCTGAAGATAATTCCAAAACAGTTGCAACAGTACATCTATAGGGAACATACAGAAATTCAAGCTGGATTCACAAGAGGATGTGGAACTAAGGATATCATTGCTGACATGAGACAGGTCTTGGCTGAAAGCAAAGAATACCAAAAAGATGTTTGTTGTTGTTGTTCCGACTCATAGCAACCCTGTACAGGATTTCCAAGGAGTGCCTGGTGAGTTTGAACTGCCAACTTTGTGGTTCAAACTGGCCTTGTGGTCAGTGTTTTATCCCACAGTGCCACACCAGGGCTCTACAGAAAAATGTTAACTTTTGCTTTATTGACTATGCAAAGACATTGACTGTGTGGATCAAAGCAAACTATGCATAATATTGCAAAGAATGAGCATTCCAGAACACTTCATTGTGCTCATAATAAAGCTATATGTAGACCAAAGGGCAGTTGTTATAACAGAACAAGGGGATACCAGAAATGTGTGCATCGAGGTTGGATCCTTTCACAATACTTATTCAATCTGTATGCTGAGCAAATAATCCAAGAAGCTGGGTTATATGAAGAAGAAAATGGCATCAGATTGGAGGAAAACTCATTAACACCCTGCAATATGCAGATGATACAGCCTTGCTTATACTGGAAACTAAGAGGACTTAAAATACTGATGAAAATTAAATACTACAGCCTTCAGTATGGTTTACAACTTAATGTAAAGAAACAAAAATCCTCACAATTGGGCCAATAAGTAACATCATGATAAGCAGAGAAAAGATTGAAGTTGCCGGACTTTATTTTGCTTGGATCCACAATCCCCACTCATGGAAGCAGCTGTCAAGAAATCAAACAACATATTGCATAAGGCAAATCTGCTGCAAAAGACCTCTCTAAAGTGTTCAAGAGCAAAGATGTCAGTTTAAAGACTAACATGTGCCTGACCCAAGCCATGGTATTTTCAAAGACCATAGAAGAATTGATGCATTTGAATTATATATGGTATTGGCAAAGAATATGCAAAGTGTCATGGACTGCCAGAAGAACAGTGGGTGATCAGCGAAGAAGAGGAAGACCCCCAATGAGATGGATTGACATAATGGCAGCAACCAGTGGCTCAAATATAACAATGATTATAAGAAGGGCACAGGCCTGGGCAGCATTTCATTGTGTTTCACAAAGGGTTACTATGAATCGGAATTGACTCGAGGACACCTAACAACAACTACCAACTCTGAAGCTCAATTGCAATGGTCAGGAACATCTTGAGATTTTCTAGAGTCTGTCAGTTCCTGGGGAGACTCCATAATTGTGGACAGGGTCTGAGGGCAGATGGAGGTGCACACAGAGCAGACAGAACTGTCATATGATGGGAGAACAGGCACTGTGTCTCAGTGAGTGAGGACCAAACACAGCTGACACTGTGAGTTGATTCAGAAGGTGGGTAGCCCCTTTGTCTCCCCTTGTCCCCTGTTGTCCACACTGAAGGCCATCTGTTGATCTGTTTTCAGGGTCACACTCTCTGCAATACTTTTTCATGGGCGCCTCGGAACCAGACCTGGGTCTTCCCCTGTTTGAGGCCTTGGGCTATGTGGATGACAAGCTGTTTGTGTCCTACTCCCATGAGAGTCGCCGTGCTGAGTTTCGTGATCCATGGGTCTCTGAAGGGACTACCAGCCAGCTGTGGTTGCAGCTGAGTCAGAGCCTAAAAGGATGGGACCACATGTTCACCATTGACTTCTGGACCATCATGGACAACCACAACCACAGTGAAAGTATGTGGGGAGGGAACCTTGCCTTCCTGGGTGTGGTGGAGCATCTCTCTGCCTCAGAGATGCATCAGGGAGTTGGAGCCTGAAGGCCTGGCAAGTGGATGGGGGAGGAGGAGAACAAAGGATGGGAAAAGAGGCAACTTTCTGTTGTCCTCTGTGGCTCCTGGGGATGGTAGAGCCCGGGATCTACCTACTCCTTTGGTTTCAGTAATGAGGCTGGGGTTGCTGTCAGAGTCCCACACCCTGCAGGTGATTCTGGGCTGCGAGATACAGGAAGACAACAGCACCTCGGGGTTTTGGAAGTATGGATATGATGGACAAGACCATCTTGAATTCTGCCCCGAGACACTGGATTGGAAAGCAGCAGATTCCAAGGCTCAGGCCACCAAGCTGGAGTGGGAAGTGACCAAGATTCGGGCCAAGCAGAACAGGGCCTACCTCGAGAGGGACTGCCCTGAGCAACTTCATCAGTTGCTAGAACTGGGAAGAGAAGTTCTGGACCAGCAAGGTAAGTTGGAGGGATCCTTCTGTACCCATACTCTAGTAGGGCACAGGGTTGTTGGCTGGGATTTCTCAGATGTGGCTAAGTTCTGTGGTTAAGTGACTCTTCCCAAGTTCTACGAAAGGACTTTCTCAGTCCTGAGGTCTCCACTTCATAATTTTGATATACGAGGTTAAGTAAAAAGCATTTCTACAAGGGTTCTAGTTCATACACGCACTGGTTTAGTCCAACCAAATGTGTTTAAACATGTCTCTATGATCAGTGTATGACTACAGATGAGTTCTCTCCATAATACACTTGTCTTAGTGTCATTAGGGTGTCTTCAAAACAGCAGATCCAAGAGGATCTGCTAGACCAGTTAAATTCAAGGCAGAGAGGTCAGCTCAGAATGTTACGGCAACTATGTTTTGGGATTCCAAAGGGGAGTCCTGGTGTGACGCTGTAGGCTAATGGGCTGGCTGCAAGATTGGTTTGAACCACTAGATCAGACATCAGCCACTCCTCAGATACCCTATACAGGGTCGCTACAGGTCAGAACCGACTTGACGGCATTTAACAACACCACCACCAACATTCTTGATAGATCCTGAAATATCTGGTTCACAGGGCTTATGATAAGGACGTTTGAAAACAATTGAAAGCTGTATTGGTGAGAGAAAGTTCTTCCCCATCACAACCATGTACCACTTATTTTTCTAGGGTAGCAAGGGCTGTCCTATGAGTATTTCATTAGGAAATCTTACCCCATCTACTCTCCAGCCCTGATCTTGTTTCAAACTTCTTTTTGTTCTCAAAACCAAAGATCATTGGGAAAGAATGCAATTTTGAGTCCCACAAGGATGTCAAAGTTGTCATTTTGATGTGGTGTAAATAGAGGAGCACAGATTTCTTAGACTAGAGCGAAACACTGCCTCTAGAAGTGTATATAAGTAGGTTGAGGATGTACAGAAAAACAGTATCTTGCATTTTGAGATTTTATGTTTAATACAGTTGACTGAATTTTAGCAATACATTTTGATTTACTCTTGTTTGACATAGTCATGAGTTAAGGTTTTGTTTTGTCCCTCCATGCATGTGGGGACAGCAGAAGTACAGATGGTCCTCTTTTATTGACTAAAGAATCCTGTGCATGTTTACTGGTTAGGAATTAAGATATGCCAATACATTGATTATCAAAGCAAGAAATTGCCAAATGAGGCAAGCAATCAGAATTGCAGGGCTTTGGGGAGGTTAAAGGTTACTTTCACAGAAGAATGCAATGCTCAAGGAAGCCTGGTTGTCTTGCAAGTCTTCCTACAAGAACACTTATTGGATTGAACCACATGAAGTTGCCCATAGTCTATACGCAATCTATTTTGATCAACATACATGGCAATTTTACTTGATTCAACTTTATTAACAGAGGACAGAAGACCTGAAAAACAAGGACATACTAGACAGAACAGGGCTTATGTGACACCACATCAGAGCCAAGTCTTAGAACAAATTTTAGACACAAAATGGTGTTTTTTTGCAGCTTGCTTTGCCTGTAAAGAGTATTTCCTTCCTCTAATCCATTAATAAAAGAGAAGTGAAAATTTCCATCTTCTTGCTGTTGCTGCTATTAAGTACCGCCAAGTCAGTTCCAACTCATAGCAACCCTGTATAGGGTTTCCAAGGAGAAGCTGGTGAATTTGAACTGCTGACCTTACAGTTCAAACTGACCTTGTGGTCTAGTGCATTATCCCATAGCACCACACCAGGACTCCTCTGGTCTTCCTAGCAAGGGTGAAAAGATCCCCTTCTCATCTTTTTCCTTTCCTGTCCAGTGCCTCCTTCTTTGGTGAAGGTGACTCACCACATGGTCTCTGAATCGACTACTCTACGCTGTCATGCGCTGAACTTTTTATCCCAGAACATCACGATGAGGTGGTTGAAAGACAAGGAGCCTCTGAATACTAAAGACATTGAGCCAGTGGAGATTCTGCCCAATGGGGATGGGACCTACCAGAGCTGGATAGCCGTGGCCGTGTCTCCTGGGGAAGAACAGAGATACATCTGCCAGGTGGAACACCCAGGCCTGGACCAGCCCCTCACTGCCATCTGGGGTATGAATGGGAACCAGAGACTGAGAAATCTGTTGGAAATGGAATGGGGCTGATCAAGAAGGGGAGGGTCTGATGTAAGCTGGGAGGTGGGCTGGCAGTCACAAGCTTTCACTTGCTTTTGTTGTTTTAGAGCCTTCGTCTTCTGGCCCCCTAGTCATTGGAATCGTCAGTGGGATCACTGTTTGTGTTATCATCTTCTTTGCTGGAATTTTGTACAGAATCTTAAAGAGGAGGAATGTTTCCAGTGAGTAGAAAAAGGAGTGGTCGCTTTTTACCACTGCCCTTTGGCATTAGGCATAGCCAAGTTGGACTCACAGTGAGTAACTGCATGTGTAGAACTGCCCCACAGAATTTCCTAGGCTGTAATCACTACCAGCTGTTTCACAGGAGAAAGATGAGGCTTTCTGCTCACGTAAAGATTTACAGCCTCGGAAACCCTGTACAGGGTCGCTATGAGTCGGAATTGACTCCACGGCACTTAACAACACAACAACCATCTTTGAGGAGCTCTGGTAGTGTTGTGATTACAAATGGGGCTGCTTAAACTCAGCAGTTTGAAATTATCAGCCATTCCATGGATGAAAGATGAGGCTTTCTGCTTCTGTGAAGATTTACAGCCTCGGAAACTATGAGTTGGAACTGACCCCACAGCACACCACCATCACCAGTAGTAAGAACCAACTTCATGGCACACTACCATCACCACCAATCTTTACAGGAGAGTCCTGGTGTGGCGCTGTGGTGCGCTATAGGATAAGCATTCAACGACAGAGTTGGTTTGAACACAACGTTGGTGGTTCAAAGTCACCAGCCACTCCCTATGAGTCAAAACTGACTTGACTTTACAGGATCAGATCTTAGGTTTTCCTCCAGCTGAGTGGGTTTGAACCACCAACTTTTTGGTCAGTAGCTAGGTTAGCAGCCCATTACTTAACCATTATGCCATCAAGGCTTCCTCAGACCTTTGGGTATGATTCTATTGCCAGAAAATGGCAGAGGGAGGGCAGAGGGGGTATTTGGCATCCATGAAAAGGCTTCCCTCTCTCTTTTCCTTTGGGGGCATCAGCACCTTCCTTTGAGCAATTATTGGTTTCCCCAGAATGAAAGCTCTAATTTGACAAACATCTTTTGAGCATCTCCTGTTTTGTAAGACAAGGACCCTGGTGACACAGTGAGTTAAGTGCTGGACTGCTAACCTTCATGGGAGAAATATGAAGTTGTCTGCTCCCATAAAGATTTACAGTCTCTGAAACTATGGAACAGTTCTACTCTGTCCTATATGTCGACAGTAGTGCGTTTTTGTGTTTTGTTTTCTGACACAGTGGTTAAAGCACTCAGCTGATAATTGGAAGGATGATGGTTCAAACCCACCAGCTGCTCTGAGTTAGGAAAGACTTGGCAATCGGCTCCCATAAAGATTGCTGTTGTTGTTGTTATTAAGCACTGTTGATTCAGTTCCTACCCATAGTGACCCTGTGTAAGGTTTCCAAGGAGTGGCTGGTGAACTGCCAACCATGCAGTTCAAACTGAGTTTGCAGTCCAGTGCATTAACCCACAGCGCCACACCAGGTCTCCATCCCATAAAGATTACAGCCTAGGAAACCCTCTGGGGCAGATCTGTCCTCTCACACGAGGTTTCTATGAATCAAAATTCACTCAATGGCACAAACAACATTTACAGTACTATGAGTCCCTGAGTTGCATAAACTGTTGAGTGCTCAGTTAACTCACTGAAAGGTTGGCAGTTTGAATCTACCCAGAGAGACTTTGAAAGAAAAGCCTGGTGACCTGCTTCCTAAAGGTCACAGCCACTGAAAACCCTATGTTCAGGTTTACTCTGAAACACATGGTTTGTCAGAAATCAGAATTGATGGCAATTTTTATTTATTTATTTTGGTATTTAAGGTAGTGCAGGGACTTAAGGAGGAAAGGGTTCATTTTTCCTCTATGGGCTGGAGGAAGGAGATACTCTTTTCAGGTCAAGTAAACTGAGGATAAACACCACACAATTACAGTTAAAGACAATCCCTCCTCTAAAGCCCTAAAGGAAGTATGAAGTAAAAACCTGTGTGATATCAAAGGAAGGAATGACCGTCCACATTTGGCTGGGAGCCAGGAAAGGCATCTGGAGGCTGACTTCTGAGGTGCATTTTGAAGGAGAAGTAGGACTTCTTTAGGTGAAGTTGAGGATGAGAAGAGGTCTACATGGTTGGCACAGCCATGCAAGTAGGAGAATGAGGCATACTGGAGGTAAGATAAAGTGACTGCCACCAATTCTTGATTTCACATACCTGTCAGTTACTATGCTCTTCATTTTTACCTCCTGAGCATCTCTGATGTGGGGGTAAAAGAGATAGCCAGAATCCAACTCATTCAAGCCTGGGCATGGAGAAAGCATGAAGAGATATAAGAAAAGAGAGACACCAATTCCATGGTATGAAGTATGAGTTGTTAGGGAGTGAGATGGGAAGCAAGTTGACCCATTAGAAAGTCATTAAACAGTTCCATATGAGACGTAATATGTCTCAAATCCAGTAGTAGCCAGCATCGAGAATGGTCAGAGTTGAAAGGGTGGGTGAAGGAGGTGAGAGACGAGAAGGAGGCAAAGAATATTCATTCCTAGGTCTCTAATGCTTTTTCCCTGGTCTCTTGTCTCCACAGGACGAACCATGGGGGACTATGTCTTAGCGGAAGGTGAGTGAAATGCAGCCTGGAGACCCCTTGTGGGGAGGAGACATCATAAGAGACTCAAAGAGGGGGTGCAGTTGTAGAGTTCTCTACATTTCAGGACAGAGGTGGAACTCATAAACAGAAACTGTCTGAGGAACTCTCTGTTTGTTGCCCTTCCTTTTCACACTCTCTAAAACTTTTCCCCATTTTGAGTTTATGCATGCTAACAATGCCCAGCTGAGACCTGTCCCTGAACTTGTTCTTTAAATCTAGAGCCTGCCTTTATTTCCTCCATCTCCTCAGACATCATACAACCATGCACCTCACCGCCTACCTGTGGAAGAGGGAACCGTACATTTTGAGAACTAAAGACTCCTTTTGACACTTGAGAAAAGCAATGCGTCTTCTCTCCATGGACATGCACTCTCGTTTCCTCACCAGAATTTTGCACACACATCTACTCATTTCTTGGACCTTCCCCTGACCGCCTCTCCGCTCCCCAAATGTTCTTTGCCTCCTTTCTCTGCAATATTCAGTAGCCCTGAGGTCTCTTCCTTCAGAGTTTTGTCCAGGTGTTTGTACAGCTATGAAGGCTGCGTGTCTTTCTCAGTAGAGGCATCATGAGCATTAATGAAAGGTTTTCAGTAGCGAGTAGAGAGAAGGTGTGTCTTTTTCTAATTTGCACAAAGGTGCCTTATAGGTTTGCTCAGATTAATGGTGGTTGCACTTACAATACCTCTCCCGTATGCTAGACCTGAAGTTCATGAACTATACTGACTTTTACCTGGTGTCTATTGACACTCTCCTTATTTAGATCATCAGAAAGAGGATGATGGATGATAAGTATAAAAATGTGGCCAACACATAAGATGGTGGCACAGTGGTTAAGTATGCACCTCCTAAGCAAGGGTTGTCAGCAATGCTCTGTGGGAGAAAGATGTAGCAACCTGCTTCTGTAGATTTATAGCCTTGGAAACCCTATGGAGCAGTGCTAGTCTGCCCTGTAGGGTCACTATAAGTTGGAATTTGATTTGATGACAACGAACTTATGTGGGGAACATATTAAAAAGCACATAGTTGGTGCCAGGCCTTATTCTGAGCACTTACATGCATTATCTCATGTAATTTGTACAACAGTTTTATGAGGCAGGTACTGCTATTATTGTACCTCATCCCCCTTTTTTCTTAAAAAAAGAAGAAACAGTACAGAGTATGTCATAGCTTTCTAGGTAAAGAGACAGGTTTTGAATTCAGTCAATCTGGCTCTTTGATCCTTTTCACATACAACTACATTCAGATGGTTTCAGTGTTTGGATTCAAGGTGAAAAGAAAACTGCTAGATGATATGGGTGAAATATGAGCGGTCTTCCCCATTCAAGGTTGTTGGGCGGTACAAATGATTTGCACTTGATTAGTAATGGTTATGAATTGGGCTGCAACCCTCAAAGTAAGCAGTTCGAAACTACCAACTGTTCCTCGGGAGAAAGATGAGGCTTTCTGCTCCCGTAAATATTTACAGCCTCGGAAACCCTGTACAGGGTCGCTATGAGTCAGAACCGACTTCACGGTACATAACCACCACCCCTAACCAAAAGGTTGATATTTAGCATTGTGAAAGAAAGCTCAGCCAATCTGATTCCATCAAGATTACAGTCAAGAAAACCCTATGGAGTTCAGTTCTCCTCAGTCAGTTCTCCTCAGTCAGTTCTCTTCAGTTCAGTCACACATGGGGTCTCCAGGAGTCTAAACTCACTCAACAGCAATGAGTTTGGTTTGGTGTTTTCTCCCCATTGACTTCTCTTTTCTCATTGTGTTTCTTCTTCCCAGTGAACTTGACCCAAGTGAAAGGAAAACAGCAGAAAACAACCTACTGATCTTCAGCTGCCGTATTTCCTATGATACCCCTGTGGGACAGGCCCTGGAATGTGATGTCCTTACTCCTCTGTTCCCATTATCTCTTCAGTCCTTAGGCCAGGCCTGTGACTGGGGATGTCAGCTAATGGCTGTGCTTGGCCTCACAGTGCCCTCTCTTGGCCAGTGTCTCTGAAGCCAAAAGCTTGGCGGCATTTTCAACAAGCTGGATCATGCATCATCTCTTATTTTAAAGACTGTGAAACAGAAGCCACCAAATGGCCTGGAGGATGTCCCAGGCATCTTCTTAGGGTTGTTGGAGTTCAAGTTCATCCCTACCTGTGCACAGGAAAAAAAAAAAAAAAATCTTGTCAAGTCACTCAAGATTGACTAGATTCTGGGAAAGTCATTTGTATGAACATGTTCAGATAATTTTAATATATACACCCAGATGTCATTGCTGTTATTAAGTACTGTCAAGTTGCTTCCGACTCATAGTGACCCGTGTATAGGGTTTCTGAGGAGTGGCTGGTGGATTTGAACCTTCAGCTTTGCAGTTAGCAGTCCAGTGCTTGTCCAACACCAGGCCTCCAGATACCATCCACAGTTATGTATATCAGGCTGCCAAGTACCTCAGGAGACCAAACAGTTCAGAAGATTTGTTCAGTATTATTCTGGATTGAATTGTGTCCCCATTCGAAAAGATGTGTGGCGGTCCCAGTCTCTATACCAGTGAATGTGAGCCTGTTTGGAAAGTATCTTTGAAGGTATTATCAGTTCATATGAGGATATACAGAAGTAAGTTGAGTTCTAATCCATGTGACTGGTGTCCTTACATAAAAAACAGAAAGAGGCACAGAGTCAGGAACGCAGAGGAAAGATACAATGAGATGCTGCAATTGTGAGTCAATGAATCCTTGGAGCTTCCTACCAGAAGCTAAGAGAGAAGAATGTAACAGATTTTCTCTCAAAGGTTCAGAAGGACTCACATGGCTGACTCCTTGGTCTTGGACTAAGCCTCCAGAACAGTGAGACAAAAAATTCTGTCCTTATAAGCCACCAATTTGTGGTGTTTTGCTACAATAGCCCTAGGAAACCAATACAGGTAGGAATTGAATTTGAGCCAAAAGAATTTAGCTATTTTTTAAAACTTTTCCATTTTTTTTCCCTGATTGTGCAAACTATGTGGAAAAAGTGTAAGTAATTTATATTCATTGTACATTTTTTTAAATGAATAAAATCAACTCTATTATAGTGATAAATTGCTAACATTTTGTTTTTTTTCTCTTGGTACTATTGCTGTTGGCACTGGATTTCAAAGTTGGTGTGAACCACCTACACCAGCCACTCCTCAGAAACCCTATACAGGGTCACTATGGGTCGGAACTGACTTGACAGCACTTAACAACAGCACTATTGCTATTAGTACAGAACTGGGCACTGCTTTCCTCAGTTGTGCATAGTGTGGATGTGAATCGAAACTGAGTCGATGGCAGCTAACAATAATGTTAAGCGTCATCAAGTCATTTCCAACTCATAAGTGACTCTATAGAATTTCCAAGGAGCAACTGGTAGTTTTAAATTGCCGACCTTGCAGTTCAAACCAACCTTGCGGTCCAGTGCATTATCTTGTAGAACTCCTAACAATTAATTAATGCTATATTAAAACAAAATTAATACACACACACACACATATATATATATATATATATAGACTTCTGATGTGGTGCTGTATGTTCAGCACTGAACTGCAAACCACAAGGTCGACAGTTCAAAACCAACAGTCATTCCTCAGTTGGAACTGACTCATAGTCACCCTATATAGGGTTTCCAAGGAACAGTTGGTGGGTTTGAATGGCCACCCTTTCAGTTCAAACTGACCTTGAGCCTTGATGTCAAGTGCTTATCCTATAGTGTCACTCCAGGACTCTCTCTCTCAATGTATATATATATAGTTGTGCACTTATATATGTGCACTTTTGTACTGCATGATTTTACAGATGTTATTCTTTGCCCCTTATGTATATATTTAATCAATACCTCGGTTTAGGGCATTTATATTGCTAATTTTTTTAACTTTGTTTAATGGAATAATCATTAAACTGAAGTAATTGAATTGTTTTTCTTTTCTCTACACACATTATCATCTAAATTGTAGCACATTGGTCATTTTTGTCCTCCAATTAAGCTGGAAGCATAATGAACAATTCTTTATCTCTAAACATTATCCTGCATTCAAAACAGACTACCAAAAGTCTTGCCTTACTCTCCTTACACATAAAGAAAAGTAACAACACAAATTAGGGAATGGTTTGCTTTCACAAGGAAATTTTTATTTTAGAGAGCACCCTAGTCTTCTGGTAGCGTAGTGGTTACGAATCGGGCTGCGAACCTTAAGGTCAGCGGTTCGAAACTACCAGCAGCTCCGCGGGAGAAAGATGAGGCTTTCTACTCCCGTAAAGATTTACACCCTCGGAAACCCTGTACAGGGTCGCTATGGGTCGGACCCGACTCAAAAGGCACTTAACAACAACAACTAGTCTTCATAGTAACACGTTAACAACCATCAGCAACCCGAGTCTGTTAATTTTTTGTTATAGATAGAAATGATAAATCTCCATCCCCTTTTGGTTTCTCCTAGTTTAGTTTTCTGACTTCGTTCCCCTATTCGTATGGCGAACAACATTTGAAAAATCAAAGACGACACATTTAAAATTTTGTATTTTGTTTCACTTCTGGCAAAACCACCTAAAGACAGAAGGTGCTAGTAAGGACAAGAGTGACATCTGGTGGCCATGTTCAAATGTGTCACGGTGGTCACGTGATGAGAATGTCCAACAATAATATTAAGAGCCTTCAAGGTGGTTCGGACTCATGTTGACCCTATGTAGGGTTTCGGAGGCTGTAAACCTTTAAGGAAGCAGAAAGCCTCATCTTTCTCCCGTGGAGCGGCTAGTAATTTCAAACTGCTACAGTGGTTACGAATCGGGCTGCGAACCGTAAGGTCAGCAGTTCGAAACTACCAGCGGTTCCGAGGGAGAAAGCTGAGACGTTCTGCTCCCGTAAAGATTAACAGCCTCGGAAACCCTGTGCAGGGTCTCTATGAGTCGGAACCGACTCCATGGCACATAACAACAACAACAACCAGGGTTAAGGTGCCCTGGTAGCGTAGTGGTTACAAATCGGGCTGCTAACCCCAGGGTCAGCAGTTCGAAACTACCAGTTGTTACGTGGGAGAAAGATGAGGCTTTCTGCTCCTGTAAAGATTTACAGCCTCGGAAGCCCTATACAGGGTCACTATGAGTTGGAACCAACTCCATGCCACATAACAACAACAACCAGGGCTCCTTTTTAGAACTCCAATTGTTAAGTGCCCTTGAGTTAAGTTCCAACCCATAGGGACCCTGTATAAGAGGAGAGATTCAAATACAGAGGAGAGGAAGTTTCCTGACATGAAGGGTCTGGAGAAGGATAGGGCACTGGGGGTTATTTGGTACTGAAAAAGTCCTTAAAATTGAGTTTTTATTAATGACATATTGGGCAAAATATGTCATTATGGTTGGGGAAAAGTTCACCTAGACCTTCCCTTCAGGTGAAGGTGGTACCTGCTGGGATGGCTCACAGCATCTTGTCTTTGTATATGAAATTACCATGTTGTATATACACTATTTTCATATTTTAAAACATGGTAAGATTTCAGAGCTTCACCTATTACCTCATTTTTTTCTCTGTAATGTTTGACATCTCTTCCTAGCTAAATCTTCTCTTATAAGATGTGTTTATGGTGGGGAGCAGGTAATGAGGGTCAGGAACCTAAAAATTCCCGGTTTAGTCCCTTAAGATTATGGCTGTTTAATCATTTCAGATGTGAAGCAGACTGAAATAGTTTCCTGCCTTCTTCCAAGTTTTTCCTCTCCCTCACCCATCTCTCTTCATATGAGAACATTGTTTCTCTCCAATCATACTCTTATGCATTTATTTATTTATTTATAAACTAGGGTAAGAGTATTGGTTTGTTTTAACCAGAGTTAATTCTTACCGGGGGAATTTCAAAAGGTGCATCAGGAAGCTAAGAAAAAATTAATGTTGAGAAGTCTTTTCAAATCACAAACCTTTTCTGTCTTCCTTTCCCCCCTACTTTCTTTTTAATAGGGTTGTTATTAAGTGCTGTCGAGTTGATTCCAACTCACAGCGACCCTATATAGGACTTCCGAGGAGAAGCTGGTGGGTATAAACTGCCGACCTTGTGCTTTTAAATCCAATGCTGATTCCACAACGCCACAGCAGGAGTCCTTTAATGGGATTAACCCTGTTTAAAACACCAATAAATTTATCAAAGGCTTCCCACAGGCCAACCCTGTAAATTTTGTAATGACCTTAATCCAGTATTAGCCCTACTTTACAATGAATCCCCTCCTAGCATGTTCTTGTCTCTAAAACTGGATCAGTTTGAAGAGATTAATGAAGGAAGGAAGGGAAACATGTTGATTGTTGTTGATTGCAAGCTGACCAGACAGGCTCAGCTAGTCCAGGAGCAACTGATTATCCAATTTTAGCTTTATGCCCTTTGCTTCTCTCCCAGATTTCAGAAAAGGATTTTAAAAAATTTAAGTTGAGATAGTGAGATAGAAGATGAAATTTACATTAGGATGTTTTAAATAAGCAACTATTTATCTACCTTTTTGTCTTCCTAAACACAGGACTGAGACCTTTCACGGACAAAATTCTTTCATGGACAGATTACATTTTGTCCAGCACAGAGAAGGTTATAAAAGAGTGGTAAAAGTTTTTTAAAAGCTCCTTAACTCTGTTATGTTTTACACATTATTTCTGTTTTTCCACAAGGAACCATTACCGAATTCACTAGTTATGAATGGAAATAAATGCAAAAGAAATGGGGAGTGGGGTTCTTCAGCGTTTATGAGGAATGAGGATATTTTCAGCTTTCGCTGGGCAAAATAATATTTCAAGCTTGATCGAAATTCTTCAGCCTCCCTACAGGCCGCTCAGCAAAGCACAAGGTTTCACTGACGAATCAAAGCATTGAAATTTCAGTAAAACACCCGCCTCTTTTTGTTCCAGTCTCTTTGATGACCTCATTTAAGGAAAGGGGGAAAAAAAAAAAAAGTGGCCGCCAGAACGTGTAGTTTTCAATTAGGTCCGCTAGAGTTCTATATAAAGGACTGCGCCAACCTTCACTCTTCAGTTCAGCAATCATGTCTGGTCGTGGTAAAGGAGGTAAAGGCCTAGGAAAAGGAGGTGCTAAGCGCCACCGTAAGGTATTGCGTGACAACATCCAGGGCATTACTAAACCTGCAATTCGGCGTCTCGCTCGCCGTGGTGGCGTGAAGCGTATTTCTGGCCTCATTTATGAGGAGACTCGCGGAGTGCTGAAGGTTTTTTTGGAGAATGTGATTCGCGATGCCGTGACCTACACTGAACACGCAAAGCGTAAGACTGTTACTGCCATGGATGTAGTCTACGCGCTCAAACGCCAAGGCCGCACACTCTATGGCTTCGGCGGTTAAAAGAATTATCTTTTAACACAATCAAAAGGCCCTTTTCAGGGCCGCCCACGAAGTCACACAAAGGGCTGAACTGCATTGGAAAGCTACAAATGTGGGGTTGTGCCCATTTGCCGGTGACAAGTTACCTTTATGTCACAAAGTACTTTTAAAACGTCCGCTGAAAAGCTAACTAGATGCAAATGAGGGTGTTTTTTAACCAATGCACTTAAAGCCCTTGAAACCATTCTGAGAAAAGTTGATTTCGTTATGCTGGGAGGAGGTTTCCGTTCCTTAAACACACTGCATAGCACTATGTAAATGAAGGCTTTTTGAAGGCACTCTCTCATTGGAGGACAATCGATATCCGGTAAACGACACTGCTGCTGAGGAAGGAATTCAAGGGGCGCTGTTCTATTGGTCAAAACAACTACGCAGAATTTTGCGTGGTGGTTTATGTTTTTAACGAACAGGAAAGGTGTACCCGATCTGTAGAGATTCGCGTCCTGTTGGGCGACCGCGGGACTGTTAGGCAAAAAGAGGAATAGGCTAGTCGTTTGTACTGGCGAGAGTCAGGCGTTGGGCAAATGAATCGTATTTTTGCCCGATTGCAACTGCACATAGAAACGTGATCACCATGTCCAAGCTAAGCATGGACTATAAATGATTGGAATTTAAATCATATATTTTCTTCCATTTTTTAGGACACGGTTTAATTAAGTTGTTTTGAACAGCGCAAATTTTAACAAATGAATCCGAAAAACCGCATCCTGGTGACTCATAAGAAATTGTACTGCATGCTTTTTGCATTGGGCTTTTTCAACGTCACCAACTTCCCATATAAGATCAACATTAGTTATTATAAGGAGTCCTGGTGGCAACAGTGATTTGACTAATGACCTAAAGATTGGTGATTCAAACCCACCCAATGGCTAAATGAGTGAAAGCCCTTGTGGTCAGTTTTGTTATTGTTGTGAAGTGCCATCAAGTGGGTTCCCACCCATAGCGACCCTGTATAGGGTTTCCGAGGAGCGGCTGGAAAACTTGAACCACCCACCGGCCTTGCGGTTCAAACCAATTTTGCAGTCCAGCGTATTAACCTACAGCACCACACCAGGAAACACTATACAGGTACTTAGCAGAGAAACAGCATAGGGTTTCCAAGGGATGACTAGGTATGAACTACTGACCTTGCAGTCCAGTGCATATTCTATAGTGCCATGCCAGGATTCCAGGTGCAGGTTAAATCAAAATCAAATCCATTGCTGTCCAGTTGATCCTTCATAACAACGCTATAGGAAGACAGAGCAGATTTACAACCTTGGAAACCCTAAACTGCCCTTTAGGGTTTCCAAGGTTGTAAATCTTTAAGGAAGCTAACTGCCACATCTTACTCACCAATGGGTTCAAATCACTCACCTTTAGGTTAGTAGTTGAGTGTTTAACCACAGAACTACCAGGGTTCCAGTATAGATTACAATTTGGGAAATCCTATGGGACATTCCTACTCTGTCACAAAAAGTTATGAGAGTTGAAATTGACTCCAAGTCACTTCACATTAGTATGGATCTAACAATTCAGATGATCTTTAAGAATGTTAAACCACAGAGCAAGTAAAGATTGTTTAAAAAGGAAAGGTACTTAAATTTAGACCTTGAGAGTTAACTGGCTGAGTTAGTTTGTGGTTTTTAGAAAGGTTTTATTCATATCTTTACAGCTGTCGCTGACTCTGAACTAGCTGGACAGCACTTAACTAAATACTGGCATATTTAGCAAATGGGAATGAGGATAAGTGATACTCCACGATTCGTGCAACAACTATAAATTGTAAATACTTTCTATTTGTTAGTTTATAACAGATAATGGAGGGAATATCTCTTGTTAAGTTCTATCAAGTCAATTCTGACTCATATAGCAGAGTGAGGTGCAACTGGTGAACTGCCCTGCCCACCCTGTGGTTAACTGTCCAGTGCTAATCCTACAAGGCCATATGAGGACTTCACTATTATGTATTGTTAAGTGCCATTGAATTGGTTCCAACTCATAGCGACTCTGTACAGGGTTTCTGAGGAGAAATTGGTTGGTTTAAACGGCGGACCCTACGGTTCCAATCGACCTTGAGGTCGAGTGCTTATCCTGTGGCTCCACACCAGGACTCCCTATATCTCTTATTGTAGTTGTGTGCCGTTGAGTAGGTTCTGACCTACAGGGTTTCCGAGGAGCGGCTGGTGAGCTTGAACCGCCGACGTTGCAGTCCAGCGCATTAATCCACGGCACTACATCAGAGCTCCTACATCTGTTAGCAGTTAGTAAAAATGAAGGTAAACGTTTTCCTTCCTTGTATGGCATTGTAGGATAAGCACTGGAGTTCTGGTAGTGTAGTGGTTACAAATCGAGCTGCGAGCCACAAGGACAGCAGTTCGAAACTACCAGCTGTCCCGTGGGAGAAAGATGAGGCTTTCTGCTCCCGTAAAGATTTACAGCCTCGGAAACCCTGGTCAGGGTCGCTATGAGTCGGAACTGACTCCACGGCACATAACAACAACATTAAGCAACGCAGTTCAAACCCACCAGCTGCTCCTTGAAAATCTTAGATCAGAGTCGCTATGAGTCAGAACCGACTTGTTAGGTGCCATCGAGTCGGTACCAATTCATAGCAATCCTATGCACAACAGAAAAAAAAAAAAAACAGCTCGGTCCTGGGCCAACTTCAAAACTGTTGCCATGCTTGAGCCCATTGATGCTGGCACTTTGACCTTAAGGTTTGCAGCCCCACTCGTAACCTACCTAAACTCCTTAAGGAGCTCTGGTAGCGTGGTGGTGGGTGATTATGTGCCGTGGAGTCAGTTCCGACTCATAGCGACCCTGTATAGGGTTTCCAAGGCGGTAAATCTTAATGGGAGCAGAAAGCTTCATCTTTCTCCCGCAGAACAGCTGGTAGTTTCGTACTGCTGACCTTAAGGTTCGCAGCCAGAGCTGGTAGCGTAGTGGCTACGAATTGGGCTGCGAACCTCAGGGTCAGCAGTTCGAAACTACCAGCTGTTCTGCGGGAGAAAGATGAAGCTGTCTGCTCCAGTAAAGATTTGCATCCTCGGAAACCCTGTACGGGATCCCTGAGTCAGAATCGACGCCACAGCACTTAACCTGAATGCTAGCAATCCTAAAGCATAGTAAAACTGCTTGAGTTTCCATGCCTATGAATCTTTATGGGAGTACAAAGCCTCCTGTATCTCCAGTGCATCGGTTGGCTGAGTTTGAACAGCTGTGCCTATGTTAGCAATCCAACACTTACATCACTATGCCACGAAGTGTCTTTTACTTAACCCATTATGACTATTTAGCTAGTTAGCAAAAACCCAGAGCTACAGCTCTACTCCAGAAACTTAAAAATTTCTAGTGTCTCGCCATTTTAGAAATGTTAAGGTGGCTCTTAAAAGAGCCTTTGGGTTCTTCTGAAAAAAACTGATCTCACTTCTTCAAGGCTGCCTTTCTAGGATTTATTTTCTGCTGAGTCAACTTGGGCTTCCCGGTTTTTAGCTTCCCTGTTTTGGCTTTTGCTGGACTCCTCCGCTGTTGCTGTATCTTGGCACCTTTAGCCTTCCTCCCACTCTTGGCAGCTTTTTTAGTTCCTGCAGCCCTTGCCTGCTTGGCTCTTTTATTGGTCTTGACACCCTTTGTAGACCTCGAGTCCCTGGACAAGACCAGCTTCTTGGCTTTGCCAGAGGCGGGCTTTCTGACTTTGCCCTTGATAGGATCCAGATCAGCCTTCTTGTTGAGCTTGAAGGACCCGGAGGCCCCTGTACCCCTGGTCTGCACCAGAATACCCTTATTCACCAAGCTCTTGAGGCCCAACTTGATGCGGCTGTTGTTCCTCTCTACGTCATACCCAGCTGCTGTCAATGCCTTCTTTAACGCAGCCAGGGACATGCTAGTTCGCTCTTGCGACCTTGACAACGCCTCGATGATCAACTTGGATACAGAGGGGCTCGAGGTCTTGAGGCTTGCACCTGTCAGGCCAACGGGCTTCCTCCCTCTCTTTTTGGCCGGAGGCTTCTCCATAGGTGCAGGAATAGGATCAGCAGGAACTGCGGGAGCCGTCTCAGACATGTCAACCAGAAGACGAATCAAGATGTAAGAACCAGTGAGGCGAGAAATAAGGCCGACTGCACGGCCTTATATAGAGCAGGGCGCGCTGTGATTGGTGCATCACCAAGGCGCCGACTACCGCCCTTAGGAGGAGGGGAATTTGTGTTTGTTCTACCCCGAAAAGTTGAAACCCCCAAAACTTCTAGGCACTGAATCACACAAATTCTACTGTCGAATAATCCGTGGAGACTTGGTGTTCACATGCCATATAGTTTTTTGATGAAAGATAATCCTTTATGTCAAAACTATTCTAGAAAGTCCTCGATTTTCAACAAAACCCAAGGGGGAAAAACAAAACTTCCTCTTTTCCTTGAAAATTCTAAAGTAATTTTTAGCAGGAGATTTATCTCACCTCATCTGAGTGGTCTACCAGATGGTTGGCTTCAACTTGATGGAGAAAATTAGTGATTCAAGCCCTGATTGGTATGGAAATTTATTTATGTATATGACGGAAGTAACACAAATTTCTTAGACTTTCACCTCGGAGTTAGAAGATGCTTGTAGAATTGTCAACTTTAAGGTGTACACATATTTGAACAAACACAATCTTCTAAATCCTAATCTATAAAGCACATGGCTTGTCTGTGCTTAAAGGTCCTCCCCAGACCCTGTGGCTTCATAGAAGACCCTCAAATTCAGAGTAAGTCACATGGCTCTCATAGGAAAATTGCTTGGCAGGCCACCTTCATGCCTTAGGGTCCTCGTTTGAATTTTGCTTGTGGTTGCTTTACTGCGGTTTCCTTTCTATCCCAACTGATAAACACAGCACCCCTCCCCAATCATAAAACAGCAGGCAAAAATCCTGCCCTTAAGAGTCCAATGGAACCACAGAACTGCAGCTCTAACAAGAATCAGCTGGCAAGTGCCTGGCAGAACTGTGGGGAAAATATTGGGACCTTGTCCAGAATGCTCCTCTGGGCTGCTAGTTGGACTGAGCTTTGTGAAAGATTTGGAAATAAAATTTTGCTCATGAAAGCTGGGCCTTTCAGGGAGATGCTAAGGGAGAAATATACAGTTTTGAGTGCCTTCCAACCTGAGGGGCTTATCTTCCAGCACAATATCTGACAATGTTCTGCTGCTATTTATATTGTTTCAGTATTCAATATTCTGGTGCTTTCTGACACTGTTCCACTGCTATTCATAAGGTTTTTAGTGACTAAATATTTGGAAGTAGTTCATCTCTCCTTCCTAGTCTGTCTTTGTTTGAAAGCTCATCTGAAATCTGCCCACCCTGGATAATCTTACTGGTATTTAAAATATTGGTGGCATAACCTCCAGAAGCACAGTAACACGCAAACCACCACAGTATGACAAACTGACAGACAAGTGGTCTGAAGGAGAGTGGATTTTACCAAAGACCTTTTGTTTTGACATTTACTTGGGTTTTGTGGCCCTTGATGGTCTGAGTACTTTTATAATTAAACAGACTTATATGAAGCCTGTATAGGCTTTTTAAGGCTGTAAATCTTTATGGGAGCAGAAAGCCTCATCTTTCTACCTCAGAGTGGCTCGTAGACTCTAACTGCTGACCTTTCAATTATCAGCTCAGCACATAACCCATTATGTCACCAGGGCTCCTTATAGGCCTGATTTGTTGTTGTTGTTAAGTACTGTAGTTAAGTTTCGATTCATAATGACGCTGTATAGATCTCTGAGGCTTTTTAAATCTTTGCAGGAGCAGAAAGCCTTATCTTTCTCCCACAAAGTGACTGGTGGGTTCGAACTGCCAACCTTGTGGTTCACAGTCCAGTGCTTTTTCATATGGAACCACTGTACTCCCCTGAAGGGCTGAATTGCTGTGGCTGACTTGTTGTTATGTACTGTCGAGTCAGTTCCGACTCCTAAAAACACTATATAGTGTTATATATACTCCCGATCTTGCAGTTCAAACCAACAATTGCAGTCCAGTACATTATCCTGAAGTTCCACACCCTGCCTCCTGAGGGGCTGACTGTTGTTGTTTTAGTTCTATCCAGTCGGTTCCAACTCAGCAAACCTATACAGGGTTTCTGAGGGATGCCTGGTGAGGTTGGAATCACCAACCTTGGGGTTCAAACCAACCTTATGGTCAAGTGCTTATCCTATAGCACCACACCAAGAAGATTGTTGTTGTTATGTGCCGTGGAGTCGGTTCCGACTCATAGCAACCCTGACCAGGGTTTCCGAGGCTATAAATCTTTACGGGAGCAGAAAGCCTCATCTTTCTCCCGCGGAACAGCTGGTAGTTTCGAACTGCTGATCTTGTGGTTCGCAGCCCGATTTGTAACCACTACGCTACCAGAGGGAGCAAGCTATAATTGGTAAAACAAACAAACAAAAATCAGTAGCAGTCACTCATTTTGGCCTAAATAGGGAGATGTTTGGTGTTCTATGGGTGACAGACTAACTCACTTTTGTCTATATTTAGATAAAATTATGATATGGGCATTATTTGTCTCATTTAACCATGGTCTCAGAATAACCTTATTTGATATTTATATTCAATGAGATTCTTTATGTCCAATAAGAATAAAATAGCCTAGTGAGTGCCAGGCCTGTGTTCAGATTTCAGAAGTTATTATTTTGTTTTTTCTTTTCCTAGCTTAATATTCGGACTCCTGGTGTGGCACTGTAGGATCAGCATTGGACTATGAACAACATGGTCAGCAATTCAAACCCATCAATTGCTCCTCAGAAACCCTATACAGTGTCACTATGAGTCTGCCTGTATAGTCAACATGGTCTGCAACATGACTGGATAGCACTTAGAAAACAACAAAAGGCTAATAGTTCTTCATGATTTTTCATAATGTTTCCAGAACGCCTATAACACAGATATCAATTCCATTTTGCAGAGAAAAAACTTGAATTGCAGAAAAATGAAATTATTTTCTTCAAGGAGGTGAAGTGCTCAACGTTCTGGATGAAGTCTTCTCCAAGACATCATATGATTCCTAGGTCACCATACGAGGGGAAGAGTTATACTTGAGGGTAGAGGGGATGTGACCACCATATGGTCACCATACAAGGGGAAGAGTTATACTTGAGGGTGGAGGGGATGTGACTATCAAAAGGAGGGGGGGCGTTGTAAACACATAAAGTGGCTGGCTTAGAAGTTTTCATGGTTATGTTTAGTTTTAGAATGAGGGGACAAGGGAGAATCTCCACTGACTAGTTTTCCTCTTTTCCAGATGGGTCTGGTGAAAGTGGTTAGCGGGTGATGCTGATAAGATTTTATGAATCATTGTGAGTAACTGTTGGTAGAATTAATTGTGACTGTCAATACTAAAATTGTTATTAAGTGCTGTTGAGTCGGTTGCGACCCATAGCGACCCTGTATAGGGTTTCCGAGGAGCAACTAGTGAACTTGAACTGTTGACCTTGCAGTTCAAAGGGCTTTGCAATCTGGTGCATTAACCCACAGCACCGCACCAGAACACCACTAAAATTGTAGAAGATGCGTAATTAAAAGTGGGGAGTAGTTAACCTTTCGTTTCAGGAATAGATGATCCCAGGATCATCAAGAAAGAAGAGCATGAGTGGGCGTGGAATCCCTGCGTGGAAAAGCAGTGACGGCAGAGATGACAGCAGAGGTGGCGGCATGGAGAGACAGAAACTGTGGACTCTAGCCCCATGGACTGAGTAAAACTGTGCCTATGGACAAGAGGCTAGCTTGAAGAATGCACCCTTTGGACATTTGAATGAATATATATTTTTTGTTTTGTTTTGTAAGTGTGCATCGAATACTTTTTGCTTGTTCATTTGTGACATGTAAGATATAAATGGGGCCAGTGTTTTCAGTTGTATGTGTTTTAATTATATCATGTTCGGTACAAGTATGACTTTACGATTTTCTTTATTTAGAGATTATGCATTTCGTTTATAGGTGTCAGATGGACAAGGGTGGACTATAGTTGTTTTGTGTCATTTTGACTAGGCCAGGATTCCCAGTGGTTTAGCAGTTGGTAAGTGCTGAGATCTAATGCACACATAGTTGACGATGATGAGTGGTTATGAGCAGTGAATGAATTGAGGGAGGCTTCCTTGTGGGTGTGACCTGCTCCTAATATAATGGGCACATAGGAAAGGCTCTCTCTTTCTCTCTTCCTCTGGGTACCTGGGACCGTAAGCCATTTCCTTGATAATAAATTTCATTTCATATATATACATATGTGTGTTTCACTGACTTTGCTTCTCTAGAAAACCCTGCCTAAGAGAGCTGCTAACTGCAAAATCAGCAGTTCAAATCCACCAGTCAATCCTTGGGAAAAGGATGAGACTTTCTGCTCCTGTAAGGATTTACAGCCTCAGAAACCTAAACAGGGTCACTGAGTTAAAAGGACTTCTAGTTTGGTATTGTAGAATAAGCACTGGACTGGGAACCACAAAGTCAGTGGTTCAGCGGTTCAAACCCACCAGCTGCTCCTCAGAAACCCTATGTTGTTGTTGTTAGGTGCCATCAAGTCAGTACCAACTCACAGCGACCTTATACACAGCAAAATGAAACACTGCCCGATCCTGGGCCAACCTCACTATCATTGCCACGCTTGAGCCCATTGATGCTGCCACTTTGCTAATGCATCTTGCTGGCATCTTGCTGGGGGTCTTCCTCTTTTTCTCTGACCCTCCACCCTGCCAAACATAATATTCTTCTCCAGCGACTGCTCCCTCCTGGCAAAACCCTATTGTTGTTGTTATGTGCCGTGGAGTCGATTTCGACTCATAGTGACTCTACACAGGGTTTCCGAGGCTGTAAATCTTTATGGGAGCAGATCGCCTCATCTTTCTCCAGCAGAACGCTGGTAGTTTCGAACTGCTGACCTTGCGGCTCACAGCCCGATTCGTAACCACTATGCTACCAGAGCTCCTTGGCAAAACCCTATACAGGGTCATTATTAGTCAGAACCAACTGTATAGCACTTAACAATAAAAACATGAGTTGGAACCTACTCTATGGCACACAACAACAACTTGTGTTTATG